GTGGAAGGGTCTTTTAGAGGGGGTGACAGAGCTGTCTTGCCTTCACAGATCTCTTTCTTGGGAGGGCTGGTGTTCAACGAGGGAGTGAACTGGTTAATAAAAAATGTAATCCGGGAGCCTCGGCCGTGTGAAGGTAGGGAATGGACCGTGGGTGTCGTGGTGTCAGTGGAGTTCTGAGTGGAATGCTGACTGTGAGGGGTTGGAGGGTATTTTCCCCTTTGCCTCATGTTGGTTTTGTATGTTTGGATGTAAGAGGGCTGGTAGAGCCCTCTGAGCAGGGATGTGTCCTGTGAACTGTGTGCACATATTCCAGCAGAGTGTTCTGGCTTCGCATCTGGAGTGTTCCAGCTGCTGGGTACAGAGTAGACCTTGACCGTACTTTTTCTTCTTCTCTTCCCAGAAGCCCATTCAACAGTGACCACAAAATATGGGATGCCGTCCAGCCACTCCCAATTCATGTGGTTTTTCTCTGTCTATTCCTTTCTGTTCCTTTATTTAAGGTAAAAATTCCAAGTCAGGTTTTGGCTGTTAATATGTTGAAACACCTGAAATATGTGTCTCCCTTGCCGGGTGCCACTTGAGTGGGATAAAGGAATTAAATCTGAGGCCCTGCACAATTTACTGTGGCCTGGGTGGATGGAGCATGTCTGTCTCCATCTGAATGTAGGGCTGGAGTTACCAAGGCTGAAAACTGGAGGGTGTGGGTGGGCCTCCTTTTACCTGTTGGGGTACAGGTCTCCCAGTTTTCTTTTTCTAAGCTGTGATGGTCCCCCAGTGTGAGGGAAGAGGGGGAGAATAGGGAGGAGGAAAGAAGAGCTGCTTTCTCATGTGTCTACTCAGTTTGTCAGTGGGGTCATCTGCAATCTTTTAGGTAATATCTGTTGCCCACTTGCATGACCTTTTAGTTCACCTCCCTTTCCAAGGACTGGGTTTACATGCTGTGCTGTGCTTTCCTGAGGTTCCTGCTGGGGCATGGCTCTGCCTTGTGGCTCCACGTGTGGAGGAAGACAAAACTCACAGTCCCTCCTGGCTCTGTGGGTGATGGAGAGACTCTGATGTCTTGGCTCCCTGTTGCATATGCTCAGCATGTGCCTCTCACACCAGTTGCAGTAGCTGTGAGCATTCTGCCTTCCATCACAGCAATCCCTGTTGACAGCTGGAGAGACACACGAGTGGCTCTCTGGCTGCTCTGGGACAGGTTGCTGCTGGGATGGGGTCGAGCTGCCCATGGCCCCACTGGAGTAGGGCTTTCCTAGGTTTCCCGAGGGAGTGAGGACAGAGGTAAGGCCTGCTCAGCTCCCTGCCCCGTGCTAATGGCTCTCCATCTCTTTCAGAATGCACCAAACAAACAATGCGAGGTTTCTGGATTTACTATGGCGACATGTGCTGTCCATCTGCCTCGTCACAGTGGCTTTGCTAGTCTCATATAGTAGGTATGGAGCAACTGTTTGTCTTATGCTCTCATACAGTCCCGTGGCTTGTCACAGCCCTGTCATTCCTTATCCTGCTTTTCCGACCTGATTCTCGACTGCGCTGTACAAGTCGGAGCTTTATGGAAGTCGCTTTTTTGCCACGAGACCCTTCCAGTAAGCAAAGGTGCTGCATGTGTGGTGCTTCACAGAAGCATTTATAAACCCCCAAATCAGCTGAGCTTGTACCAGTTCCCTATGGGCTCCATTCCCATGCTCCAGCCTCACTGCCTCACCCTCTTTCCAGCACTAATCGTGGAATCATTGCCCCATGCCTTGGCACAGCAGCCTCTGCAGCACATGGATTGCTACAGTTGATCAATCTGATTGTTTTGCTTGAGCATTAGTTAATCAAAACATTTATAGCTGTTTGACTTGCAAGATTTGTATTAAGATGAATAAAGAAAACAAAATTTTGATCATGTTTTTTTTCCCCCTTTAGTGGATTTAAAAAAACAATTGTATGCACACACCACAAATATCAAGTGAACTCCAGTGATTGGAAAACAGACAAATTCAAGCTAGAAATAGGGCCATGTCTTTCACAGGAAAGTAATTACCTGTTGGCACAGTTGACTGTACACTACAGCTGATTCCTTATTACTGATTATTTTAAATCCATAACAGGTATGTAGTCTAATTTAAAAAAAAAAAAATTGGAGGAAATCAAGTGGCCTGTGCTAGGCAGAGGGTCAGATAAGATGATCATAATGGCTTTATGATATATGGGTGAAAAGAATTTTGAATGTAGCTTGTGCACACAGATAGCAGGCAAACAGTGCAGCTTTCTGGATGGCTGCAGTCCCAGTGAGCTGTGCAGCCTTCGTGCCTGTTACGTTGGAGAGCACCAAAATCACAGCAAAAATGCTGTCCATGTTCTTAAAAGCCTTCAAGCCCCAGTTTTGGTGGCTTGGAGGGGACTTACCTTGTTACTGGCTTTGGAAGTCTCCTGGGGAGGAACCAACAGTAACAGTTCCTCACCTGATCAGGATAGATGAAGAAGAATGTGGAGTGTTATTGAGTTAAGCTCAAAGTAGATGTGCTCTAAGCTGAAACTGCTGTAGCAGGGAAGAGTTTTTCCCAGGTTTTTTTCCCCCCAGTATTTTTGCCAGCTTTTTTTGAAAAAAAGATACCCACTTTTAACATCTGCAGGATAATTCACTCACAGCATCTGCGAGTCCAGTGGAACCTCAGCTCTCGAGCCTTGCCTCCTCTTGTTTTAAAGCCTGTCTGGTGACTCTTCTCTTCCACTGCAGGGTTTATTTGCTTTACCACACCTGGAGCCAAGTCCTATATGGAGGTGTGGCAGGAAGCATTATGGCCATAGCCTGGTTTGCCTTCACACAAGAGATCCTAACTCCTCTCTTCCCGAGGATAGCTGCGTGGTAAGGCTCTTTATTCTGTGCAGGCTTGTTACAGATGTTAGAAATGAGAATTCCTGGGCTCTGTCCCAGTTTTGCATACTGACTGTTGTGTAACCTACTTGTTCCTCCATGTTTTCTTGTGCATGCTTATACAAAGGATCATATGTCCTTGATTTAAGGGTGGGGAAGAGAGGGAATTTAATCAACTGCTACGTTTGTAAAGCCCTGCTAAAGCCGAGAGGTGTGGCAGTGCTGGAGGAGCTTTGCAAGCAGAACAGACCTTTCTTAATGAATGTCTAATGACCTAGTAAAATTGCAAAGCCATTTACATGTGATATAGTCTGGAAATATTGTATAAGGAAAGAAAAGAGCATTTAATTAAATGTAACGAAGAATCTTTTTCCCAGCCTGAAGTGATAGGATAGTACCGTTAATTCTGGAGCATATTTTGTGCCTTTTTCTTTTTGTTTTGGTTGGTTTTTTGTTAAATCAAAATCATGGTGGAGAAAGTCTAATTATTTCCCCCTTTCCCCCACCTTGTCTGTTTTCAGGCCAATTTCAGAGTTCTTTTTAATCCGAGACACCAGCCTCATTCCCAACATCCTGTGGTTTGAGTACACAGTCACGAGAGCAGAAGCAAGGTGAGTTCTGTTGGGGGATGGAGGAGCTGTTGCTGGTTTGACTCATTAGATGCAGTTATTAATTAATTTTCTGATACGTAGCCACTGCTGTGGGTAGAATAGCACAGAGTAAAGAAAAATACCAAGTTGTGGGTTAACAGCTGCATCTGAGAGGTGAATCCAGGGAGTGTGGGACTTAAGAATGTTTCATATAAGCATTATTTCAGCTCTCTGGTGTTTGCAGGCAGTTGTTTATAATGCTGTGTACACTGGAGATGGGGTGGATGTTTAGGACTGGGAAGGGCTGATCTCCCTGTAGGGTATGTCGGGCGCAGCTTTAGTTTTGTGTGGAGCTCAGCAGGGCCTTCCTTTAATCCTCCTGTGTTTTCCCGCTGGTTTGGTTGGTTTTATCCCCAGCAGGGGTGGTGTCCCCTGTCTCACCTGTCCCCCCGTGTTGTCGTTGCAGGAACAGACAGCGCAAGCTGGGAACGAAGCTCCAGTGACCCGGGAACGCGGGACCAGAGTTTTAACGGAGACAGACAAGAGCAGAGACCTGGGAGCAGCAAAGGAGCCTTTAAACAGACGGACCAAAGGAACAGGCAGGGACCATACCCAAAAACCTGAAAGCCTTTGCTCTGCTTTAGCAGCTAAGCTGGATTGCTCCCTGATGCATGTGGGACCGTGCAGGAGTAGAAGCTCATTTCCAACACAGATGCACATTGCCGGTCGAATGTACCATCCTGTCTACGTCAGGGGAGGGGGGAGGAAATGCCTGGTGTCGTGTTCGGGGGAGGGAAAACCAAAAATGAATCCTTTCTGTGACTTTTTTTTTTTTTTTTCAGCATGAAATATACACACTATTTATTTATTTTTTTAAATGGAACTATTGTTTTTGGGGCGGGTGAGGCGTTGATTGTGTGTTCTGGTTTTTTTTGCCTTTTTTTTTTTTTTTTGTTCGGGTTTTTCTTTTTTGGAAGAAGATGACAAAACTAATCTCAAGTGGATCATGTTTAAGTAGGGCTTTTAACTCTTACAAACTTCTTAGGAGGGAGGGGAACTAGGATGGGGTGACCTAGGTGGAAGGGAGAGGAAGACTTTCCTTTCTGCAACCAGTTTGGGAGATCAAAATCAATTCCAACTGCACTTTGTACAGACAGAAAGACAGACTATAAAGATCTGATTTTTAACACTAGTGACAGTTCTGCAGGGAAGCCTGCACGGATACCTATTAAGGGGAGTGTGTGTGTAAAACAAAGGAAAAACACAAATATACTGACTCTTATTTTTTTTTTTCCACTGCTGCTCCTGTTGTGTAATTAGCAAGAGTGTCCTTCTCAGAATCTCTTCTAGGTGGCAAGATTATCATACATATCTCACATTTATTCCATCTCTTCCTTTATACTTTTATTACCTCAGGGTTGCTGTGATCTGTACAGCTTTTGTTGTACTGAGAGTGCTGAGGGCACTGGGAAGCCCATTGGTTACAAGCAGTGCTGTGCTCCAGCAAGAGTCAGCCCAAAGCCTTAGAAAATTCAGCTGCTGGTCTCTGTCTTAAGCACTGGATTTTTAATTTTTTTTTCTGTTACAGTTTAAGGGAGGGATTTTTAGGAATGAACACAGTGACAACCATAAATGAACAAGGCAAATGACTAATAACTAGCTCAGCTGCTCTCTGAACTATTCCTTGAAGAGTCCTGTTAGAATCCAGCCGTGAACTCCAAGTAGGGAACTTGTAACTGGCAGGAGCCTCTGCTAGGACCACAGTAGCTTGATAGGTGGGGGTTCTGCAGTTGTAGCCTTGAATGCTGAACTCCTGCAAGCAAGTTTTGCTTTCCATCCTTCTTCCATTCCGGTTCTCCGTCTGGCCAGTGGGCTCTCTGGATGCTGTGTCTCTGTGGGAGTGTGCCTGCCATCTCTGTGTGCTGGTGATGCCTCCGACCTCTGTGACCCATGAGTTCACCCGGCAAGGGCTAAACTCCAAGTGCTTCAGGGCTGTGCATGGACACTTTCTGTATTTCTAGTATATAATGCAGCAGTTCAAGTGTAACTACAGAGAAGTATTTATTCAAAGCACAATTGACTTGAACTTTCACAGATAAAAGGACAGCTTCTGAACTGGCTCAAAGGTCATCGGTGTGCCTTCGATGCAGTCATGTGAGCAGAGGTAAAATGACTGTCACATCTCGGTCTTGCTGCCTGTTTTACTATTTCCACTTTAATCAGACTCCTGCATTATAAAGCTGCTTGAAGTGAGATGTTTTTTTCTGTTCATCTTGCTTATTTTTTTTTTTTTTTAAGTTTTCATCTGTGCCTGTTGCTCTAGGAGTTTCTGTGTTCATGTGGAGTGGGAGGTGCTGTTGGACAACCAGAGTGTTAACTGTAGAAAGGGTCCTGATCCAGGAGATCAGGAATGAAAGCTGTTTAAATTTCTGTGTTTAAATACCTATGGGTAGTAAATTAACTGTTGTCAGTTGTTACATCAAGTATATATATATTTTTTTAAGAACTGTTTAGTATTTGCATAACACAAGCATTCCTGTAACATCTGAAGGACCCAAGCACTGGATCTGCTTTGAAGGTGCATCATAATAAAGAGGCATCTTGCAGCTTTCACAAGGACATTTGATCTGACTTAGACCAGCTCTGTTAGGATGAGACAGGACATCAGACAGGCCCTGTGACATGCTGGTACCATATGTTTCAGTCTGAAAACTGGTACTAATCGCTTATGTCTTTCAAAACTGTTTATTTTCTCTTTCTGTCTCTTGTGAGTGAACTTACAAAGCCAGAATGGAGATCACAGCTCTCTTTCCCAAGGCCAGGGCTGACAGAGAGGATTGTTTTAGGAGTGGCTTAGCACTTCCCCAGCCTCTCGAGCTCTTATGACAAACTGCTGGAAAAACTATATATGGAAGCACCTATTGAGAACTAGAGCACAGGGAAGAGGGTTCATCTCCTCACAGAGCAGTGTAGTGTAAAAAGCTGTTCCACTTCATGTTGCCTTCAAACCCAAGCTTCCTACAGTTAATTCTTAGGAGTGAGGGAGAGGAAGAAGAGCTCTTGTAAGACACTGTAATAAACTCCCCTCTGTTCTGTGAGTTGTTTGTAATCTGCATCTTCTGCCTACTTTTGCTGTACCTTTTCAGAAATCTTTGCAATACTTGATACAGTAGAAATTCCTTAGTGATTCCATGGATTTTCTTAACTAAATGGTGCTGTGCAGGAAAAGATTTGAGCTCTGCCTTATTATCCTACACTTGTATGAAGTCTCCTGCCACTAGTTTTCTGAAATGGAATATTTTCTTTGGAATATGTGGCTTTGCAAGCAGATGCTTACTATTCCTCCCCTGTACTCCAGGGGGCTGGATAGAGATAAGACAATAAAAAGGAAGGTGACAGAATGCTGTGGTTCACTGTTCTTGCTGTCCCCACACAAACATCCTCCCAATGAGGGCAGTTATGTAACTTCTGCAGTGTCTGAGGAGATTTAAGCCTTTTTGTAGCACTTATCTGTTTATTGTGTTTCAGTTTATTCAACGAACGGTTCCAAACTTTACATGACATGGATCCCTTTACCCAAACAGGATTTTAACACAGCTAACCAGCAAAGCATGCAACACTACCAGGCTGTATCAGAAATTGCACTCAGACCCCAAGATTTATCTGAATGTTTTCAGTCTGTGAATTCCTTAAATGATTTGTTCCAAATTGGTAGCTTTTCTGGAGCTTTAGTTTCTTGTACCTTGTTTGCCTTTAAGACAATCTCTTGATAAAACAATCAGAAACAGGGAGAACAGTTTTAAGTCAACACTGAAAAAATGTAAAGGGTATGAACCAGAAGGACATCACATTTTAGAACTTGTACAATAAGAAAAGACTTTTTAAAGGAAAAACCTTGTAATGATTTTAGCAGTGTCCTTTCAAGCACTCCAAAAATCAGCTTCATTCATCAGAATTTCAGCTCTGTGTATCAGTAAGGATGCATTAAGTGGGTTATGAATCTTGTATCTCTTTCAGTGGGACAGTCTGCTCCTTGCAGCTGCACTCTGCTGAAGCTAGTGGGATATCCAGATTTAGATCCAGGATAGATCAATCCCATCTTCTGAGGTACAGTCACAGCAGCACATGCTTATGCTTAATCTTTAATAGGCACTTTCCTTGGAGAGCCTTCCCCCTTTGAGACAGAAGTGAAAAGGGCCAGTCTCAAATACTTCAGTGGCACTACTTGTGCTTGAAGGCATTGCAGACATGGAAAAATAACTCATCCCCTGGCAACAGAGGCTGATTCAGTATGGGGGCAGGATTACTTTGGCAAAAGAGTATTTTTACCACGTGAAAGGCTCCATAAAACCAGATGTAATTCCGGTAAGGTTTGATCTTTTCTTTAGTTATTTACACAGTCACTTAGAGTTTGATAATACTGAGTTATCCTCTTGCAGTTTTCTGTCTGATTGATACAGAGGAGTTGACAGAGCAGAGAGGTGTGTGCTTGCAGGTTTGTAGTGCTCCTATTCGTGTCTTGAGGCTGTCTCACTCCATTCAGGATTCTTCTAAAAGATCAACTAAACCCATGTAGATGATGTAAAAGTGACAGTTTATACAATCACTGGCTGTGCAGGTGAGTTTCAGTTAAATTTTCTTCTTTAAGGTTTAAGTATAAGATAGAAGCTTTGAAATAACATCCTTTCAGGAAAAAAATGCCAAAGCATTTAGTGCAAATTTCTTCATTTTTGTTCACCAAGGCACTTTGATCATGTCCCTTGCAATTATTTCCCTGTTAAAAAAACAGGCCCTCACACTCCTAATGCTTCTTGTCTATGATGATGTCCCAGCAGACATATCTTGAAGGGTGTGCAATTTAAATACAGAATTCCTGTTGCAGACACAGCACTAGAATTCCTTACTACCATACAATTTTACTAAATGAAAGTGTAGTCAGGGACTTGGATTCTGGCAGGATTGGTTGGAGGTAGTTCCTATGCTACCATTGTATGTTAATGTTTATATATCATCTTTTACTGTCTCAAGTTTGTCAGCCGAACACGAAAACGTGATCATGAGATCATTCTCTTACAGAATAAAGCTGACACAAATTGGAGTAATATTTCAGTAAGAAATAACTCCCAAGAGTGGCAGGAAAGGTGCTGATACTGCAGGAACAGTGGCTGCCACAGTGCACAAACATCTACAGTGTCCACGTGTTCCCAGCTTCCTGCTTTTCAAGATTTTCTGCCTTGTTAAAAGCCGAGTGTTGTGAAAGAAGGGTGATTCTGCAGCTGTTTTTCCTTTGGCCCTTAACAGATTTTAACTCTGTGGGCCAGAAATGGAAGAATGTTTGGAGTTCCTGATCAGAAATGTCCTTATTTGTCCACAGCTCAGGCATAACAGTGTGCACAAAAAGGCTGTTTCTGAAAGCAAGGTATAAACATGTGAGTCCTGAAGGAGATGAGGCACGTGGCCTTATGGCTGGTAGGCAGAGTCAGCATCTTTTTCCTTTCCTCAGTTCCAAAGAAAGGTACAAAGCTTAGCAAGTGTCCTGCTGAATGCATAGACAATCTCTTCTCATCTCTGCAGATGTGAAGCCAAAGCTGGCAAAACCTATGTGAGAGGAGTTTCATAGAAGCTTTGTGGGGGAAAAAGCTTTAGGCTGAGCTGGAAGATCAATGGCAGGACCACAGCAGCAAGCTTAACAAACAGCCCAGAGCAACAACAACAAAACCACCAATAAAAAACACCTTAGTTTGCAGCGAGTCATGTTCTGTTGTTAATAAGGTCAGTGCAACAGAAGGGAGATCCCAGTGTCCTAAAATGAAGGGAAGGGAATGTTCCTGTAAAGCAGATACTGGTTGGAGTGCCTGGGATTAGTAGTGCAGTGCACTCTAACAAGGCTGGATCTGCTCTGGCTTAACTTCTTTCTCCCCTTGCCAAAGTTCAGTGGTGAAGTTTTGCTGGAGCAGCAGAAAAACCTTCAGTCAAGTTTGAAAGACGCTCTTCGGAAGACTTAGTAGTTGCATCACACAATAAACATTCCCTGCTTTTCCTGGAGAACTACCTTCCTCACCAAATGGATTTAGATACTGGTAAGGACTGTGCTTTCTGTATTCCTTTATAGTAAGTTTTGTAAAAATCATATTTGAGTCCTCTTTGAGGACAGGAAGGTGCACTTTGCATTGACGGGAGAGGACCAGTCAGTTCTACTTTGGCTTGAGACTGTTTCCTTTCACTACAGAGTCTGCTATCTGCGGGTGACTGTTGTGTAACCTCTTGATGAAAGCAAATGATAGAAGCCTTCCTGGGTTCCAGGGGCAGCTGTTCTCTCAATTATTGTCTGAGGAATTGGGAACTTCAGCGCATGAGGCATAGCCCCTTTAACTAGGGGGGGTTTGCATCATGTTTGCCTCTTACAGTTTGGATTTGGGAGCAGCCTGGAGCAAGATCCTCATGTCTAGCAGTGCCTTCTCGAGATAATGTGCCATGCGGGCGGCGTTGGTGTCGGCACAGCTGTTGAAGGCTGAAATTGCAAAGTTGATGTGTTCTTCCATGGGGTTGTAACAGATTCCATAGCCATCTGGAACCACGGGACCAAAACACATCACGCAGTCTGTCTTTGCTGGGACCTGTGGAGACAATGTGATTAAAACCTTCTGACCGGTCAGAGAGAAGGGAAGCCATCAAATGCAAACAGCTCTGTCAGCAGGAAACTCATCTCATTAAGGTGCTCTAGAAGGGCCCTCTGGTCAGCCCCACCTCCCACCACACTCATGCTGGATCCTACAATTTAGCAGCAATGTGTCTTCCTCTGCATTTCCCAAGGAGTGCTTCTCCCCAGGATAAACTTGTAGTAAGTCACAAGTAAGAATCAGAGCACAGCAGATAAGATGAAGCTGTCTTGGCAGCTGGCTTCATTGATCTCACTTGCATTTAGGCACCAAACACTTCTGGTGATCCTGGCTTTGGTTAGGTTAGTTTTTACAAGGCTGTGAGGGACTGTGGCAGCTGTAAGGTCAGATCTGCACCTTTATGGGATTGGCAGCTGGCTTAAAAATTCCTGACCCCAAATGAAGATTAGTTTATAATAGAAAGGAACGAAAGAAACATGGAGAAGAAAAGCATGAAAAGAAGCAGAGAAAGCACTTTTGTCCTACCTGGCTGGTTGAGAGATTGAAGTGCATTGCAACAGCATAGGCTGTGTCCATGAACAGCTCTGGCATGCTCACGAGATCCTCAATAGCCTGGAGCTTCAGGCCGAGGAGGTGCCGGTCTATGGCATTGCCCCGTATGGCCTGGAAGGAAGGAAGGGCAGATGAAAGCCAGTCCAGCAGGCCAGTGAGCAAAACTATCCATTTTTTTGGGACAAAGAAAAGAACACTTCTAAAAATCTCTACATGTTGGAAGTTGGAAGGAAACTAGATCTTGCCTTTAGGACCAATAGTCATTCTTAATTGTATGGACTGTGAAATTAAACACACCAGTGGAACCAACCTTACAGTTCCTGCCCATGGATTAAACCCCTCTGGTTTAAGGGGTCCTTGTGCAACTTTGGCATTTATGAGCAGCAATGATGGTAAGAACTGAAGCTATTGTAATATGTGATCCTCTCCTTTAGGTCAGTCACAAGGGACACTTAACCCACTAGCTAGAGAGAAAGGATTCACTCTGTGGCCTCAGAGCACTGTCAGATCAGAGTTAGACCTTTGCAACAGCCATATTGCTGTGTCAGCGAAAGCTCTTAAGGTCTTTTCTTTCCCCAGAACCATCATTTGCTGGGTAAAACCCCAAGTCTGGCTGCACAGAGGACACTCACCATGTCTGTGTATTCCCTGTGGGCCTTTGTGGCTCTCCTCAGCAGGTCTGCTTTCTCCTGGTCCTGAGAACACACAGATGTAATTTTTTTTCAAGAATGGAAAACCTCATTTTGGCTGTTCCTCTAGAATGGAGGGCATTTCTGTCTTGGGTGTCTGTACAAAACTAACTTTTATATTTACTAGATTTAATTTTTACATTGTTTTGTTTTGCTGTGTTTGTTCATTCTGAATGGAGTTCATCCATCAGTAGCAGAACTTAGTCTGAGTAGCCAAACAGACTTTTAGAAGGGACTTTTTGGTGGGATTAGAAACATCCATGTGTTGTTTCCTAGGCTTTCAGCACAGGTAGAAGAAAAGCCAAATGAAACCCACGGTTTTATATTTGTAAATACGTATTTCAAGCTACGTTTTGGCTCAGTTTCGTAACGGGTGCAGTTCCGCTCAGCTGAAACCAGCTGACACAGGGTTAGCCAAGTAAGCAGCTTTTATTTTTAGGAGCGGAGTCCTCTCACTCCAAGTTCCTCACCGATTTGTCAGGGCTGTCCATGGATTGCACAAACTTGAGGGAGTCCACGGAGGTGGAGCGGATGGTGTCGGTGCGGCCCAGGCGGAACATCCTCAGCGACGCGCTCTCGTACGTGGCACAGGCGTGGCCGTACATCCTGCATGTGGAGGGGACAGTCACAGCAGTGAGCCTGCCCTGGGGGAAAGGCCCTGCAGAGGCTTCTCTGTGCCACCTTTATCAAGCTCATGTGCTTGAGGAGGTTGAGGAATTCCCTACTGGTGCTCTTACCTGTAGTAGGCCAGCTGCAAGGCCAGCTGGATAAAAGCATCAGGGCTTATCTTCTCTGACTTGGGGAAGCCTTTCCCAAAGTGATGAAAGACCATGACTTTGATATCCAGGTCTTCGACCATTCTGCAAGGAAAGAAAAAGTGTTTCTTTGCCTGTTGCTTGTTCTTGTAACACAGAGGAGTGGATTTGCTTTCACAAGGCTCAGAGGGAACGGGCCATGTGGATCTGACCTATGCAGGGACAGAGAGCACCACCACACACAGATTTCTTTGGCCAGCACCACAGAGGTAAGATTTTTTTGGCCACTGCTGAAAATCTTCACCAGCTCAGATGGGCTTGTGTGTGTTTATGCTGCAGTATTCCCAGTTGGATCCAGTAAAGTCTTGCTCATTCTTAGCAAATGGGATGGATCAGTAATTACCCCTTTCCAGCACCTTTGACTTTATTCCTGGCAGGTGGCTTTAGTACTTTTCAGCTCAATTCAGTGCTGTTGACCCCAGAAGTCCCTGGGAATGCTCCCTGCCTGCAGCAGGGAAAGCCTCATTTAAACCACTGACATGCTCCAAAGGGGGACATGAATTACTCCCTCAGTCACTCACTGACCTCTCCACTGCTTCATACTCACATGTTGAGGTTTTGCTTCGCATTCTCTATGTCATTCTTGATTTCTGGGGTGATGTTAAACCGCAGCTTTTTGGGCATTGGCAGAGGAACCGTTGGTGATCTGGCCTTCTCGGGTTTCTTCCTGCACAGAGAAATGGTTCTGTTTGATCAGACCTTTGACATAAGGCTCAGCTTGAACACCAGAGCCTGGATAGAAATGCACAGGAGATTCTCCCTAACACCTTGTGACACTGGTTACATTCTGAAAAATTCCTCACAATGCCAATATGGTGTTTTACGAAGGGTGTGAATGAAATGTCTTCTGTGCCTTCTGCCCCAAAGAAGAAACAAACACTTCTCCCTGGCTCAAGTTAGTGCAATTCCCCAAGAGTGGAAGCAGTACTACCAGAGTAGCTTGGCCACTCAGTTTTCCTCATGGATACAAGAACTGCAATACCTAATTAGCATCCCACCACCCTTCCTCCAGAGCAGATTCCTGGGGATTGAGCTGTGAAGAGGCATGTTCCTGGGGAGCAGGTGGTTTAGAAACTGTTCCCAACAGTGAGGAAGAGCAGGGGAGGCAGGACTCACGTGAACTCCACGACATGATCCAGAAGAGCAACGATGGGAGGACCTTCAGAGGGAGCATGTTCATACACGAGACCGCAGGAGCCATCTTCAGCAATGATGAACTGGGAGAGAAGCAGCACAACTGGAATTAGCTGCAACTTCTAAATTTTATCCCATCAGTGAAGAGTTCCAAATAGGAACAAAACAGCTGAAAACATTATGAACATTTCAGCAAGTACAAGAAGAATCTTCTAAAGCACCATTGCTACAATCCACAAGCCAGGATATACCAACTAATGAAGGAAAAACTCCAATAGCAGCTGCTGTTGAAGGCTCTTGACAAGACTGAATGGAGAAAAGATCAGAGGGATACTGTGGGATGGCAGCTTATGTTTGAGAAAACAAAACAAAACGCCATTGGGCAGCTCCTGGCAGAACCAGGAAAAGTGACAAGCCTGGAGGAGATCCAAGGAACAGACCTCCCATCGTTTGGGCTGCCTCTGAGCAGACAAGGAATTGTTCACCGCAGGCAGAAAATTGATTTATAAGGAACACAAAGACCTGCTGCACTGAGTAAGCGTGGGCAGAGGCAGTAGAAGAAACAAATCCCTGAGGCAGCAGAGTGCTGGTGACTGCAAGGGGAACCACAGGATCTCGCACTGTCAGCCACCGCACCTCGTCTGCCTTATTTTTCCACCCTCTTGACAGGAGGAAAACTCGCCTGCACAAGGGATTTCTTGGACCTTTGTAGTCTCAGGAGAGAAAAATCTGCAGACCCAGACCTGCAGCACCTTTGGAGCACCAGCTCTTACCTGCAGGGTCTTGTCGAACCAGCGGTTGCCGCTGTTCCAGCGGCTGCCGCCGCCGTGCAGCATCTGCGCGGCCACGCGGCTGTTGTAGATGTCCTCGGACACCCGGGGCATGGGGGCATCGAGGCACACCGTGCAGATGCTCTTCTCAATGGCACGCACAGACTCCTTGTTGGTCTTGTCTGGGAGAGAAAGGAACCGCCAGTAAGGAAGGGGAGTTGAAAACCTTGTTGAAAGAGCAGGTTTGGAGGACCCGGTGTTGGAATCCAGTGGGGGTGTACACAGCTATTACAGGTGTGAACATGCTGCATTCACCCTCCTTTTCTCACATTGCTTACATGTGCTAGGCAACAAACTCTGGGATTTCAGGTCTAACAAACCAAGCTTCAGACCTTGCATTGATTGCCCTTTGAGGTGAAAACCTCATGTTGCCTGTCCAGAACAAGCTTCCAAATTTCTGAGCAGAGCACAGTGGTGAGGTTGGCAGCTCAAGGATCTGCAGTGTTTGTTAGCACTTGTGTGTTAGGGGCTCTACAAACCTTTCAGGAGGTTGTTGTAGGCTTTTGCCCAGCTGTTTCGGTGGTTGGTGGTGAGGATCCCAATAGGTTCTTTGTTTGTTTGGAGGGAGGTGTTCCATATCTTCTCCAGCTGGATGAAGAGCTGCTCGGCAGTCAGGGGAGATCCATCACTGTTGTAAACATCCAGCTCAAAGAACTGAATGGTGAGAAGAGTGGACAAGGACAGAGGGAATGAGAGAAGCTTGTTATTGTCCAGACCCAAAAAACAGGCAACAGCTACTTTGAGAAGGTAAGACCTGACCTAAGAACTCGGCTTTAAGCAGAACTTTGAAGGATACTCAGAATTGAGAAACCCAAGTCCAGCTTCCCTTGCAGGGCATAAATACAGTCCTGGTTTTAAGAAGCTCAGAAACCATGGTAATAAGAGCCAAAACACATGAGGAATTCCTGTTTCTGAGACCAAGCTGTGGTGAGAGGGTTTGTTATCCAATTTCCACTTGCAGTTTCCAATTCCAGGCATAATCTCTAGGCTTTGAGAGATAGGAATTTCAGGAACAGGAAACAGAGGAAGAGAGCATTTTTTTGCCTCGCAGTCTGTTGCTCACACATGGTAATTCCAGCTCTTGGCCTTGCTGGCCAAAGAGGATAAAGTGAGCAGGAATGACTCCCAGGTGAGGCAAACCTTGTGGGCAGAGACTTTCTCTTGTTCCCTTTCTGGATCACAACTAGCTGAAAGGGACACTTTGAAAGCTCAGGAGCTGCCATACCTGGAAGTTGTGAACCACTGTGATGTGCCTGGACTGCTTGTTGCCTTTGGCATAGTTGACAATGGAGTCCCGCTTGGGCCCGGGAATGCGGCAGGAGGAGAGGATCTGGTAGTACTGGTTCATGCAGAGGGGCTTCCCACCCATGTACTCCACTGGAAGGGTCTCACTGGAGGCACAGCAAGGTAAGGAGGGAGGGAGAGAGAAAACAGATCAGTGTGAGCAGGGTGTGCTCCCCACAGGGCACAGGCTCAGCTCTGCTGCTGCTGTCACTCCAGCAAGATCTAAAGGTGCTGGTGGGATAAAAAAAGGGGCTGTGCTTCCCCATTCCTACCAGCTTTCCTAGTAGGGGCTACAAAAAATGTCTGTTTGCTGGCCTTCCATTTGGGAAGGAAAAAGCACCATCCTCTCTGTGACACCAGAGAAATCTCTGGACTACATGGCTGTAGTTTTGAGTGACGAGTGTCTGATGTGCTGATATGACATGAACTAGGCTGGGGTCAATCACTCACTTTAGCAGTCATATTCCAACTACCCTTTTCACAGCTAGCCCTGAACCTTGTTTGACTGTTGGTGCTGGTAAACGTATTTTTGGACCATAAATATGGCATGTTCAGCAGAGATTTGCTGGTGACTAAAAGAAAAAGGGTAAGGGAGGCACAAATTTCTCTAGAGCTCATCCCGTCTGGCTGGGAGATGAGAAACACCAGGAACCCAAAATGAGAGAAACAGATTCCTGCTGCCTGAGCTGTACCTTGTCCTGTGAGCAAACAGAAGCACGAAGCTCCACAGGACTGGCAGCCGGGCTCGCTCCCTCCAAGCACGTTCGTGTGCCAATGAAAGCATTAAGGTAAACAAAGAACATGAAGAAAGAAAAGTAAGCTTGCTTTCTTTCCAGCAGTAGTGACTGTGGCAGTGAGCAGTGCTGGGGATTACAATATCTCTTTTCAAATATGTGCTGTCTTCTCTTGCCTTTCTATTTGGAAGGGAGATTTATGGACGAGGCTCAGCCTCTCTGTGACAGGAAGGAACGTGTGAGCAGTCAGGAGGGTCAATAACTCACTTGTCAATCATGGACTTGAAATCCAGGATGCCCTCGATCAGCTTGGCAGCAAACCTGGAAAAATATCAAATGTAACAATCTGAGATTCGAGCACAGACCATCTGGGGCTGAGGGATGAGCAGAGGAGGATTAGCAGAGCTGCTCTCTGCTCCTTAGAAAGCTCAGCCTTTCTGCCAAGCCCCTGTTGTGCCTGTCTCTGGTTCACTGATACAACCACTCTGGGCTGTGATTTGAGATACCTGGGTAGTCCTCCCACGTGACACTTTTTTTACGTATCTTACTGTATAACCAAGGAATGCTGGACAACTTACAAGAAAGCGGGATTCAGTCCAGATGACCCTCTAACAGCAGCGTTTGTTACTGATCTGTGAGGATTTTATCACATCCGAGTTCTGAATCTCAGCATTAAAACAGCACCAAGAGAAGGGGATTTCTGCCCTTTCCTGGCCAGGGGCCACCTTGGAGCGTCAAGCCAAATCACAGAAGTTTCTCCCTGCATCCAAGACTCATCACTGCTGACTGAATTCCTACCCAGTGAACATCCTGCTGCTCATGCAACCCTGAAGAACCTTCCTCTGGCACTGAGGGCTCTGAAACAAAGGCAGAGGTGCTGCATGTGGACACTGAGGTGTTGTGTTTACCAGGATCACGTGAACACTGCCAGTGCCAGCAGGGCTATGACAGGATTAGCCTTCTCTGACCTGGGAGCTCCCACCATCCATGGGGGAAAGGAGGTAGGGGGTCACTGGGACAAGAGGTTGTGGTCAGGTGGTGCCAGCATTTGGCATTTGCAGGCTGTGTCCTCTCAGATGGCTCAGCCCACCCAGCCCTAGGAAAGACCAAAGGACACAACTCCAAGAACTTAAGGGCTGTTAAACGAGACATCCTGCGAAATAGTTTACAATGAAAATTTCACAGCCTAATTGTAAAACCTGAGGGAAACACCAGTGAGAGAGCCTATGTTCCTTTTCTGAGATTGAACAGCCTGGGAGCAGAGTTTGGGCTCGAGGAGAAGTTGGTTGACTCATTTTCAGACAGCAGTGTTACCAGATTAAGGAGTGGAGAACCACCACTTTCTAAATTTGCCTTTTGGTTTCTGAAGCTTTAGTCTGAAGTTGCACTTTGTACAACTTCTTTGTACAGCCACAAACTACCCAAACACACATGTAGATTGTAGTTTTACAGGGAAGCCCAGATTCTTATGCAGCTTCTCAATTCTACTAGTTGGGGCACTGGCAGTTCTCCAGATCTTATGTGCTATTTGGACAGCTTAAGAAGGAATAACATGACAGAGCTTTCAAAGATGTTTGTGTACTCTTGCACTGTCGTAAGGTTTATCCTCTGCACTTCTGCTCAGGTGTATCACGGGGGTGGGAGGGAGGATTTGTTCCTCACTGATCCCCTGGCTGTTACTTTTGATCTCCAGGGCAGTGCTGACTGATAACTGTGGCAAAGGTAACTGTGTAAAGGTCGGTGCTAAAGTTTGGAAAGGTGAATTCAACACACTCACAGCAGTGGTTAAAAATTAAAGGGAGGCCACAAGGAAGAGAGGGCATGGCAAGGTCTGATTGCAAGGAAAGGCTTGGAGTGGAGAGGCTGGTCACTGTGAAGTTTCCCAAACCATAAATCACAAGTGAAACAACACAATAGGGCTCCCTCATCCCTATAAACCAGAAAACTCCAGAGGCATTCCCGGATAATCTCCCTTACATGCCTGGGCTACTTTTTATGGCTCCTTCAAATGCACACACAATCTTAGTGGTTCAGATACATCCTCACAATGCCTCCAGCCAGTGATTTGACCATCTTGCAATGAAGATCTGTGCTAGAGCAAAGACTTAAATGTAAGTGTTTAGTCCCTGTTTAATACCTGAACCACTGGACTCTTTGGTTTTCTCCCATAATTAAATATTTAGCCTGGTGCAACCAGGAGTTTCCTTACAGCCTGGCAGCCTTGCCCTTGGAGTCCTCTTGCACAGCACAGACAGCTCAGACTTGGGGACCACATGATAATTACTTTCCAATCAGCCTGAACACCCTCATCCTTGTCCAGCACAGAAAGTTTATCCCACCTGTAACCTAAGGGAAAGGAGAAAAGGACTTTACCTGAGCTGACCTTGTCGATCCAGAAAATCCTGCTTGGGTAAAACCACACCTGGGCTGGAGTGGACCACAACTGGCAGGCGATATTCCAGGTAAGCCGTCTTCAGCCACCAGTCTGAGAGCTGAGATGGAGAGAGGGAACATGCAGGGATGAGCTGCTGTTTGACCTGAGCCTGGCTCACAGGTCTCAGCACCCTGCCCCACACTTTACAAACTGTTTGGGGTTTCTGCTTTGCAGGTGAGAAGGGGAGAGGGCGATTTGAGCAAGGCAGGAGGGGTTCTTAGTGCAGGGCTCTAGTAAAGGGTTTCCTTCAGTTTCTTGGGGCAGCTGCGTGATGCTGACAGAGCCTTCAGCAGCCACAGGCAGGGCCAGCAACTCCCTGTCCTGCCATAAACCTCTCTGCTCACCCAAGTCGTGCTGAGGAGCTCAGGGAGGTCAGCAACAAACTGGTCACAAAGGTGATGCCATTAAAACACAGGTGCCAGTGACCCAGCCAGGACATGGGAGAGGTGACCATCAGCCCTCCACCCTCCCTCCCCAGAGCTGGGGACATCCTGACCTACCCAGTTCTCTGTTTTCTTGGCTCTTCTCTCCAGGCCCTTCTGCAGCCGCTCCCCGACGCCTCCCGGCTTGCGGAACTCGGCCACCAGCTCCTGCGTGTGGTTCAGCTCCTCCTGGCTCAATATGGGCTGCAGGGTCAGCAGGTACCTGTCCAGGGTCTGCTGGAGTGGTGGCACGGGCAGGTGGGGCAGTGCTTCCTGGTGGAGCTGGATTCTGCCCAGGATCTTGCCTAGAGATGCTGTCGGCTTCAGCAGGCCACAGGGCCTGGCCTGCAAAGCACAGAGCAAGTGTCGAGACAAAACTTCCCCCTGGTGTGCATGAGCCAGCAAATAACCTGGATCTGGGAATCTCCATCCCAGCCTCTCCACAGGCACACAGGTGTCCCAGCCTGGGAGTAGAGCACAGCTGTTTGCTGGAGAGGGTGCAGGGCACCCAGGAGAGCTGCAAAAGAGGAACTCCATCTCCCAAGACTCTGATTCTCAGCTCCTCTGAGAAAATGCTGCTGGGATAATCTCCCACACTGGGCACCTTCCAGCTGAGAGTCTCCATGTGTTTGACAAAGTCAAACCCTTCCATCCCAGGGTAAGTGGGAAGAAAGTTGTGAAAGAAATAATCATCTTATGTACTGTCAGAAACTTTCAGAGTTTCTTACAACAGCAGAAGGCAAAAAAGTTAAACAGAACCCTCGTGCCAAACCAAACTACCCTTTTGCCTCTGAGGAGGCAGAATTTAGCTAAGTTTGGAGCAGGATTAAAATGCCTCTTCTCTGACTGTACAGGAAATTGTGGGTGATGCCAACAGGCTCCTGGGGTCCAAGTGGGTTGTGTCGGAGCAGAAGCCTCAGAAAGCACCAACCATTTCCCTGGTCAGAGAAATGAAACAGAGCAAACCCAAGTGCTAACTTGAAGATGTTTAAATTGTACTCTAAAGGTTTCCAGTTCCCTCTGCATCTCTCTCTCTATTGGATCTACTGAATCAGACACTCCTGCAGGACTCTGGACTTTGCATTGTCAGTGTACTGAGGATGCAAAGCCAGAGAGAACAATCCCTTTCATTTTCAAAACCATGAAAATAGCTGTCCCCACACCTCCTCCCAGCAGTTAAGCACAGAGAAGAAGAAAGAAAGATCTAAATCTGCAAGGTGACAAAGTCCCCAGGGAAAATGCCCTGTGCTCTTTGTGGGACCTGGCAAGAGCTGTGAGACCAAGGTTTGGAGAAGGAAGGAGAAAAACAAGAGAAGGAGGAATTACTGAGGCAGGAAAGAAGGGCAGGGCTGGGAAGGAACGAAGGGTGTTAATCATGGAAGTGTGGGCATACTGTACCTTCTCTGCTTGCTCCTGCTTCCTATCCATGGCTGGGAGGACAGAAAAGACCGTAAACCTCTCCCTCGGCCTGTCTGGGTCTCCTCTTCCACCTGACAATGTGTTGCCTGTGCAGGGCGTCACCTTATTAGCCAAGTGCCACATGACTGCTCCGATCAGAGAGCTCAGGGGCTGGCACAGCCCCGGGAAGAGATGGGAATAATCAAACCAGGGTTGCGACAACTGCCCCAGAGGTGCCTCTCTGGGCAGCCCTGGCAGACACTGCCTGGCAGTGCTGATCAATAACTGTGGGCAGAGTCTCTCTGATCAACAGCTCTCGGCTCCAGCCACGGCAGAAGTGACAGCACCGGGAATGTTGTGCCCTCAGCCTCTGCATGGATGGTGAAACTACTGCAGCTGTTGTGAGAGGTGCCTGGACACGAGGAGAGACCCTGGTTTATGTCCTGGAAGGAGGTGGCACCGTGAGCTGGCACTGGAAGGGAAAAGCTGCAGGGAGTCCTTCTGTGGGGGGTGGGCAATTCTGTCCCTTTAGTCAGGCAAAGGTGGCCAGAGGGTGTCAGGTGAGGACAGTGACCCAGCCTCACTGGTGGTAGTGTAAGATTAGTTGGAGATGGGGGCAAATTCATGTTGGGGCTAAAGGAAGTATCTTAACTGCCCTCACTGCATGTGTGGGCATTATTGCAAGCTGAGACTTTGGGGAGTTCTGGCTTGTCCCCAAAAATACCCCAAAACGTATCTCCACAGCAGGGCAATGAGACTCATGCAGCCACAAGGACTATCAGCCCCTCCTCCCTGTCTGTCTAATGAACTGAGGGGCTGACAAGCACAGCTCAGCTCAAGAATGATGATTGCAAACAAACACTTTCAGATTTTCCCCTGGGGTAACAATGAAAATCCCAAACCAAACTAACTGAAGCCACTGCATGTTAAAACGTGGAATGCATTTGCATCTTCCCTCTTTTACATCCCCTGCTTGTTCAGTCTGGAGTTAAACTCCAAAGTGTTTGGTGGGAGGAGGAACAGCCTTCATAGCTAAGCCGAGGAGGCAGCTGGCAGCAAACAGAACAGCCCACCTCCCCCCACAAGCACTAGGAAAAGGAACACCAGTGGAGCAGGATATGCAGACAGGGCCAGCCCGTGGGCTGGCATCGCTCCCCAGCCATGTCCAAGCATGACAGATGACCTTTGCCAGAGCCTGCAAAGCTGGTGGGAAAGGAAATCCACCTGCAGCCAGGGGCTGGGGGGCAGGAGGAATTTCACAGCAGTGTCTGATTCTCAGCACGGCCACAGTATTTGAGTGTCAGATGTCAGAGGTTTGTCTTTGTCTTTTATTTTTAAATAAGAAGCTGGAGACTGCCTCAAGCCCAGAGACAACCAACCCTGCCTGGGCCCTCTAACTCCGGGAGTGGATCCATCCTGTAGCTGCTCTCCTGCTGCTCTGCCTCCTCCTCCCGGGACCTGACAGGGTCAGTCAATAAGCAGTTCCCAGGCCCAGCCCCTACGTGCTGTCCAGCCCCAGTGGGACATCTCAGCACAGAAAAGACAAGGAGCTACTGGATGGGGTCCAGCAGGGGCCACAAGTACGATTAAGGGACTTGAGCATCTCTTTTATGAGGAGAGGCTGGGGATGCTGGGCCTGTTTAGTCGGGAGAAGGGAAGGCTGAGAGGGGATCTCACTAATCATTCTCATGCAAGGGAATGGTGCCAGACTTTTTTCCATGGTGCCCAGCACCAGAACGAGGAGCAATGGCCATAAACTAAAACATAAGGAGTTTCACACCAACGTGAGGAAGAACTTCTTTCCAGAGAGCACTGGAACAGGTGCCCAGGGAGGGCGTGGAGTCTCCCTCTCCAGTGACATTCCAAACCCACCTGGACCCGTTCGGGTGTCACCTGCTCCAGGTGACCCTGCCTGGGGATCTCCAGAGGTCCCCTCCAACTCTGACTACCCCGTGATTCCGTGATTTCCATCCCGGACAGCCCAACCGCTCACGCTGCCGCCGGGCACGGGGAGGAACCGACCGGCCCGGGGGGACTGACCCGGGCAGCGCCCCTGCCCCGCACCGGGGGGGCTGCGGGAGCTGGGACCGACCCTCCCACTCTGCTCACACCGCGGGACACCCGCCCTACGGCCCTGATCGGGGACTCACCCGCGCCTGTGCCCCGGGCTGGGGCGCGGGGCCAGCCCCAACAGCGGCACTGCCCGGAGCCACCGCCTGCCCTGGGAAAGGCCCCGCACGGACCCGGCTACCACCTCCCGCCCCGGCTGCAACCCGAGCCGCCCCTCCCGTGCCGCCCTTACCGCAGCCCTGGCCACCAAGGCGAGCATGGCCCCGCGCCCCAGGCCCCCGGCCCGCCGCAAGGACACCGCGGCCGCCCCCGGCACCGCCGCCCCGCTCCGCCGCCGCGGGGCGTGGCCGCCCCAACGCCATCTTGGAGCGGGGCGAAGCCCGCGCCGCCATCTTGGAGAAGGGCAGGATGATGCTGCGAGAGGGGGGAGCGCCGCGGACGGTGTCGCGGCCCCTCTCTAAGCTGCCTTCTCCCCGCGCTGGTGAGGAGGATCCTCCTGCTCGCCTCCGCGCGCCCCCGTTCCCCCGCTGTGTGGGCAGAGAGGACCATGCCCCGCACAAACATGGCGGCGCGGGCACGACGGTGGCCGGGAGGGGCCGCGCCACGGGTTGATAGTGCCCGGAGCGGCGGGGCCGGGCGGTGTGCCCTGCTCAAAGATGGCCGCCGGCGGCTTCGGCTCGTGCGGAGGTGGGAGGTGAGGGGCGGCCGGGCCGGGCTGCGGGAAGATGGCAGAGAGCGAGCGGCGGGCAGGTGAGGGGCGGCCGGGGGGCTGCGGGGCCGACCGGGATGGGGGCTGCGCTCAGGGCCCCCGAGGGGACTGTCCTCGGGGCCGGGGTGCGCCGGCCGCGGGGCATCGCGCCCCGGGGACGCCGGGCCCGGGTTGCGGGGGGGCGGCGGAGGCAGCGCCCGGCCCGGGGCGAGGGGAGCGCGGGGGCGTTTGCTGAGGTGGGGAAGGGACGGAGTCCCGGGGCGAGGCGGGTGGTCGTGGCTGAACCCCTGGAGCCGCCGGATCGGGGGTCCCTGTCACCCCCAGCCCAGTTCTTTGACTGATTCCCGCGCGGAATGGGGGGCGTGTGCTGTGGGTTACCCGAGTTTAACTCCCCCTCCCCGCACCACCACACACCCCTGGAAGGGTCTTCTCAGTCCAAGCTGCTTCTCGTCATCAAGCTGACCCGCTGTGCTCCATCGCACCAGGAGGTTTGGGTTCTCCTGTATTCATCCCAGAACACTGTAACCCCTGCAGCCCTTCCGTGAGTATTCCTGGTCTCCTTCCCAAGAGGCACTAAACACAGTGTGGGTCAGAAGGAGCGATGGCTGAGAAACAAATACAAAGAGATAAAGTTCTGTGAAGGGCAAACACCCGGATCCCTGACCCAGGACACTGCCCTGGCCGCCCCTCTGGGATTTGTGTGTCACCTGTGCTCATGGGCACATCAGTGTTTGCCTTTTTATGCCACTGCTCAGGAGTTTTTCGTTGTTTTCATGTTATAAACACTTTTAAAAGCAGAGCTCCATCCTGGTGTCGCTGTGAGTTGTGTGCAGAATTTTCAGAAGAGAGACATGCACGTGCCTTTCATTGAAATTCATCACATGTTGTTCCTCTCATCCTTGTACCTGGAAGTTTTGCTGTAACTTCTGCAGGAATGAGCCAAACGCTGTGACACCCCAGGGCAGGAGATGAGGCTGAATTTGTTCTGTGCATGGGGAAGGTGAAAGGCAGAGAAGTCAGATGACTGTCAAAGGTTGTATGACAAATCTATAGCAGGCTCTGCGTGGTTCCTGGGACTTTGGATTCCTTTTAGTCTGATCTGCCTGCCAGGCAGCACTGTGGAAAAAGGCTGCTGATGCTTCTGGGCGGTGCTTTCTGTGTGAATGCAGTTGATAATACTTTAAGGAGTTAGAGCTGGTGGTATTTGTTAGGGAGCCAGTGCCTGAAGTGGCCAAGATGTGAAGACCAGTCCCTGAGCGTGCCAGGGCAGCTGGTGTTGGACAAGTGCCTGCACAAAACCTGGGATTAAAAAGGTGGACAGAGTGGCTCTGACAGAATTCATCAATTGACATTAGCACCCAGGTTCCTTGACAGACCTCTCTGCACAGCCTCTTGCTATTGATGGTTGCATTTACCAGGAGCAAAATACAAACTACCTTTAACCTCCTGGAGCTTTTCTGGCTCTGCAGGGTCATCCTGGGTTCAGGTGCTGGGGAAAAGAGCCCCTCTAATGTGTTAACAGCTCGCATTTGTGTTAAATATTAAATCCTGGAGTCTGAGAGAGCTTTGAATTAAATGATCATCAAAGCTTCCACCTGGAAGGGGCTGTGTCCCAGCATCCCCCAAGCTCTTGGGCTGCATCTGTTGAACTCCTCCAGATTGTCCGTGCAGGAATTGTCCTTTTTAGAGGAATGCAGGTCAGACTTAACACCTAAAAACAAGGCTCAGTAAGTTTGTAGGAGAGTTCAGTGCTCCCACACGACCTGAGGCTTGGCTGCACTAGACAGAAATAACTAAACTGGCTGGATGTTGCCTTTGTTACCTCCTGAACCAGTCTCTCTGTCCGAGTGGGAAATGCATCTTTAGTGATGAAAACAGGCATAATGCTACTTTCTGAAGGCTTGCCCAGCCTCAGGAGTGTGTTATCTATGGATTAGGAGGATATTGGTGAGGAGGACTTGGTGAGATGGCACAACTGGGATGGATTTGTTTGCTTTGTATCTCCTGAGAAATAAACGTTGATTTCAAAGAAAGGAAGATACAGGATTTCTTCTTCTCCACTGCCTCTGTTTTAACTCTTTTTTGCATTTCCCAGGCGCCTCTGAGGAGGTGGCTCCTCCCATCCAGCAATGCTTCATGATCCCCAAAAAGGAGATAAACGTGGTTTCTGACATGGCCAAGTGGAAGCGCTCTCAGGTATGGCTCTGGGAACAGGGAAAACTGGGAAGTGCTGCTGGGCTTTCAGTGGCAGCCAGGTCTGGTCTGGGAACAGCCAGGAGGTAAAGCAGGGTTGGGCAAGGAATGGGAAATTAATGGGTTTGTGCCTGTTTGTAGGAAAATTACTTGGCAGCGAAGTGTGGAGGAGGGAGCCAGGGAGAGCCCAGAGGCTGAGGGAGACCAGAGATGCTTAGAAATGATTCCTGCTCCCTCCCAACAAGCTGGACAGGAACCTGGTGACTATTTAATCCCACCTGGCCTGTATTTTATACCCAAACTAGATTTACCCAGTGCTGTTTGAGCCCGCCTTGAACATGGTCCTGCTGCCTGGGTTGGTCCTGGGGCCTTCCCACTGTGCTGTACTGGAAAAGGCTCTGGAGCCAAGGCCTTCAATTTTCAGGATAATTTTTGTTTACAGCATGTGTGGAGCTGGTAGAACAGCAGGTTCTCCCTTCTCTGCCTTTGAGGGATCGGGGTGTTGGCCCAGACTTGTCCCACCAAATTCTTGCTCAATGACTGATCTGAGATGTCTGGAAAGAAGCTGAAGTTGCATCCAGGTGTCAAGCAAACCTCTGGGTGCAGCTTCCAGTTTAAGTCTCCTGGGTTTAAAGACTTGCTCTTGGTCAGGATTTTGGTGCAAGGAGGGGGAGGTGGCAGTGGCTGCTCTGGAGCTGTGGAGCTGCACTAGGGATGATGCTTCAAAAGCAGCAAATTTAAAGAGAGGAGCAGCGAGGAGCCTGGGCTGTGTCCCAGTTCCCCTATCGTGTGTGAGCATGGGAGAAGAGTCCAAGGAGGAATGGGGAGATAACAGTGCAGGTCTGGGAGGAGCAGGGTGCCTTGGCACAGCTGAGACTCTGCAGAGCTCAGGAGGTTGAATTTGACCCGATAGGAGCTGAGGGAATGATTTTGGGGTCAGTGTGAGCATTTTTAGGATGCTCCTCTCTGTAATTTTCAGAGTGCAGTCACCATCTGCCTTCTGCCACCGGGGCTGCCAAAAAGAGCAGCGGCCTCACAGCAAGCCCTGCACCCCCGGGTGTCTCCAAGGAAGCAGTGCTGTGTGCTGGGAAGGGTTTCCTTGGGGTTTAGGATGCTGCCATGCTGTGTTTTGTGTTCAGACAGCCCGAGGGCACTCACTAATGCCCTGCACTCTCGGTGTGTTCGCAGGCGTATGCAGACTACATGGGCTTCATCCTCACCCTGAACGAAGGTGTCAGGGGCAAGAAGCTGACCTGTGAATACAAAGTGTCAGAGGTAGGAGAAGAGTTTGGATCCCCTTGTTTCTCCTTTCCTGCCTTTTTCCCTTTTTTTTTATTTTTTTTTTTCCTAATTGGTTCTACAGTGAATATTTCCTAGGTGAGGAATGAATTGGCAGCTTATCTGGGAGCCAGGGAGAATAAATGTGGTTGGGTTATGCTTGGGGATGCAAATGCCAGGCTGCCATTCCCACTCCAGGAGGCAGAGGCTCCCAGTGTGTGCTCACTGGATGGGAAATTGAGCAAGTTACAAGTGGACAGAAGCTGGTGGGGAAAAGGAGGGTGCAGAAAGGGCACATTTTGCCCTGTTTTCACAGTCTGGCTTCAATCAGTGATGCTTCAAAAATGTGATAATCTTTCCTAATTGCAGGCAAAAGGCTGAGATGACTCTACCATTCCTGTTCTCCCATGGGCTTTTCTGTAGGACCTTGGGCAAGTCACTTCTCTCCTTGTCCCTGGGCTTCCTTGTTACTCAGACTGTGACAACAGCACCAGTGTCCTCGTCCCAGGCTGTAGTTGAGCTGTGCAAGCTTTGCTCTGACAGTTGTGACCTCAAGGCACGTCACTGGCTGCATCTGCCTTGCCAAGGGTCGTGCTGAGGGGGCTGTGGAGCTCACAGGGAGCTGGGCTGAGCTGAGAGGTTTAACCTGAGGGGCAGGATTGCCCCTTCCAAGGTGCTAAGCAGAAAGGACCTGTTTTTCCCCTTGTATGAATGTGTCTGTCACCTGGCCCTGCCTGTTGCCATGGCCAGTTTTAATGTCTGTTCACCTTTTCGGGGCACGGTGAGATCATTTGGAGCCAGAGGGAAAGGACAGGCACCTTCACTGGTGTCACTGCTGCCCTGAGGGCTCTCTGGGTGCTGCCAGAGCACATGTTGGATGTTGGATCCCCCATCCCTTGTTCTGCATTGCAACGAGGAGATTTTTGGGTACATTTTTGCTGATCGTGGTGGTGCAAGAAAGCTGAGAATGATGTAAAGAGATCATGGGCAGCAGACTGGGCCCTGTGTGTTTATAGCTTCATTCTGGTGTGGGAAGGCAGCTGATGATGGTCTTTAACCCAGTTGTTCATGTCTGAGTCCAGCCTTCCCTCCTAGGAGCCAGCATGTGAATGAGAAACTCCCTTGTAGTTCATGGAGAGGAATGGGGATAATGAGCCCCTTCCTAACAGGCTTCGTGCCCACCTTTTGTTCCTTCAATTCAGTAGAAACTGCTGTCAAATGCTGCTC